GCCAAAGGTCAGTTGAAACGGAGGACTGTTTGGGCATATACCTCCTAGTGTGTCGCCAAAACCTATAGGGACAAGAGAAAACAAGTTCTGGTCCACCAGAGTTATTTGAGATGAATATTTGGCGGCGCAGGCAGATGCGGTGAACCCGGTTTTAATCGATACCGCAGGGACAGGGAAAAGTGCGGTAGCCTTCACGGAAACCATTAGATAGGTAAAGGTGCAGAGTATCCCCTGTGGAAGCAACACTTCTATGAGAACTTTGGAGAGTAATTATACGGGTAGTGGTGTTCGAACCAGGAAAAGAGAGTATTCTGTTTTCACTGCAAAAGGCACTCAAGAGCTTCATGTCATTTGTGTTATTATTTTGTCAAGCGTCCGGATTCCAACAGTACTCTTCGCAAAGATGTTATCACTTCACGACATATTCAGAATCCCTTCCACTGGGATATGAAGTCACGGTAGAAGTCAATGGGGAACAAAAATAAAAAGATTATTGCAGGTATGATACAATGCAAAATACTTCCCTCATGTCATCATCCAACCCCTTAAATCGTCTGCAGTCGCGAGTTTGCCCAAAGTGGATGGACTTACTCTGAACTAACCACAATGACACTCTTTCCATTGTTCAAACCCTTCTGGACCTCATAAATGGCCTGTCCGGTCTCTTTCAGTCCCTGCTTCGCGTCTTCAGTATATTTGATCTGCCGCTCGCGACGCGCTTAGGCCATTCGCGATAGAATTCCTCCTCATACTTCTCATGGAGGGAGAAGATGGGAAACCGTACAGCTTAATCTCCTTGCCGACGACGTTCATGAGGTTCTTGATAGGGTAAGGTTCGGTATTGTATCCTGAGATCATACCACATTCTAGCAAGTGAACATTCTTGTTGGCATATTTGAGCACGGCCTTGAGGGACTGCCACCCACATTGTCCCAGTAGCTGGAGAGAGAATTAGACAGAGTTGCAGGATAAGGAAACAAGCCACTATGTACATGTCAATAGGTCCTTCCTTGGTGAGGACCTCAGCCATCTTCGTCGTCTTGTAATTGAATGCGACATCAATGCCAATAGACCTGAGGAATGCCACTTTCTCCTCCGAACCGGCTGAGGCAATAATTTTCGGTCCCTCAGACTTGGCGATTTGTATCACGGCTGAACCAACAGGACCTGCCCCGGCAGTAACAAAGATAGTTTCACCCTTTTTGGCTGCTGTGTACTCTTTCCAGGCGTAGTAGGCAGTTTGGCCTGGAATCGAAATGTCAAGAAGTTAATCAAGGTTGGAATAATGTAAATTAACTTACCGGGCATGCCAGCGATACCGACATATGCAGACCAAGGGAGTCCTTCCTTGTTCTCAAGGATACAGAGTCAGTGAGGTCTTGGAGAATCGTGTTGGTCTGGAACGCTATTGCATTATCGCGGTTAAAGCGGAAGTGGCGAGTAAGATGGCTGACTCGGACTTACGAAGCAAAGCGTATATGTGATCACCTGGTTGTACTGAGGGATTCTCAGAGCGGATAACCACACTGACAGCATGATTGGTGATAGGCTGTCCAAGGGGGAATGGAGGCTACATGGCAGGTGACAGTTAGAAGGTAATGAACACAAATAACAAATACTTACAGAGTAACTTTTAACGCTGGGATCTCTCATCCGTCCTCGCATATAAGGATCGATGGAGATCACGAGTGTCTTAACAATGAAGCGCCATTAAGGGGCACGGTGTCAGGGTCAATAATCTCAGATTCATCGCATATTACAGTTTTGTTAGGATCCGGCGCATAGTGAGCGCAAAGCAGATGTGTTTTTGAAGCTCGTGAAGAGTTTTGCTTTCGCGAAGTAGTTCCACTGGGAGCCTTGTGTTAAACTCTCACTGAAGCTCATGATGAGCCTCAATCATGGTCAAAGAGTCTAACCCCATACGCTCCAACTTCTCATCCGATAACACCTATAGGTACACCCAGCACGGATGCAAGAATGGTATCCATCTTGTGAGCCACGTTCTACGTCGATATCATATTAGTGAAATCGCCCAAGCCAGAGAATGATACATCTGAAGGGGTAGAAGCTGACTACAGGAACATCGGCAATTTTTGTGGAAGGATATTGGATGTAACAGTTTCAAAGATATCCCTGAGGCATTCGCAAGCGTGAAGAGAGTTTTCTGGCAAGTCGATATCCAAAACAGATCACAGAGTTTGTAACACCTCGATGGAGGTTAATGAATCGAACTCAAGCAGCATGAGTGGTGTTCCATCCTGTACAGTACTGACTGGAATTTCTAGGGTGATAGCAACAGTTTTTTTTAGTGTTACCATCAAGGATTGACTTGAGGCAGGACTAGGGCGAGGAGAATCGTCCACAAGCATCAAATCAGTTAAGAATGGGACCAATGGGCTACGAGAAGCTTGTTGATTCATCCAATCCCTCAAATGATCTTGCTCAAGAGCCGGTGCATTATGAAATGACAAAGTGCATGTGAGGGAAAGCAGATTGAGCTTGCAGAAATGGACACTCTTAACTCGAGCCACAACATGATCTTTTGACATGCCTCCCAGTGCAGTAGCATAGACTGAGGCAGATGCAGATGTTTCTGACACTGATTCGATAGTGCAGTATAGACCATGGCATGCTGTGAGATCAATCTTGTTCAAAAGAATGTCGACTTTGTCAACACAGTTGCAAATGAAAGTCTGATGTTGATCGGTGCTCAAATTGATGACGAAACCGGCCATGTGCACCAACGTGTCCACGAAGACAGGGTAAAGGAAGTATTCACCTGATATGGAATCACCAGGAATTTGCATCTCTGCATAGGAGTCGATGCCATTAGAGTGGATAGTAATAGACTGACTAGTTTGGTATATTGATGCATAAGAGATGATGCGAGGATGGCAATTAGGTATTCTGCCACTGTAGCCCACATCACTACCTCCATAAGAGTTTCGGCATTGCTGGTACATCACAGTTTCATAAACTGTAGATGTGACGAATAGGTAGGCCCCTTCTTTCTCTTGGGAACAGTCGGAAGCTCTTCTTTGTACCTCATGGTGCTCTTCAAAGACCTCATTACAATATTCATATCGCTTGGCTGCACTTTCCAAGCCCTGCCAAATCCTCAGGCGGAGCCTGGAGTCTAAATAACCATTAGTCGACCAGAAGTGATCCAGTGAGAGTAATCCTTGTAATTTGTGTATTTGAAAGACCTACACGAAGTCTAAAGTATAATTATGGCTTCTATATAGTATGGTTAATGGGCCAATATATGATAGGAGATTAGTTACTGAAAGCCAATCCTGCAGTGAAATGTCTGATGATACGGATTGAGATGTGAGTTCTGTAAAAAGCAAGCAGATGACTAGAATAGATTGTTTAAAGGTCGGCATTCCATACGAAGATCATCAGGGGATACAAAGGATCTGTTACTGCTAGAGTCAGTCAAACGGAACAAAGACGTCAAAGGGAATAAACACACACGAGTGTCAGCTAGAAATTAAGTTTGCAAGATATTACGTTCATGCAAAGAAGGTAGGTTCTCTGTGATGGACTTGCGGACGTCCTCTGGCAATGCCTCGGGATGAAAGGAGTCCCATATCATGTCAAATGTTACAGATTCTGTGAAGGAAGTGTAGCTTGAATACGTTCCATGCAACCCCAAAAGGTCAGATGGCGAGTGTATCCTAGCACAATAGGGCAAACCTTTTCTTTCAGATATATGGGGTCAACAGGAAGAGCATTCAAGGTGATACGAAGGCGTCGGAGAGAGTGAGGAGTGCGAGTTATGATATGCATGCATGCTTCGAGACTCATGTCTGTGACACAATCGCTATCCGAAATACAGAGGACAATGTTCAGGATCTTGAGATCGATACACTTCGGGAGCTGGAGATAGTCCCATTGAGCCATGACTGAAAATAAAATAACTCAACACTGTGTTCTTAGGATGGTGGGAAAAGTCAAACCTGTACTCATATGGAGTTTGCCCTTGGGTGGACTTATACTGTCATGGACATCTATCCGCAGGCATTGAATATGTTGGCCACACTTTGAAAGTATCGGTCCAATACATTCAAGGCGCAACAAGAAATCGCACGATGTTTGTATATGCAAATGTCAGATATCAGCATCAGTGGCGAGAGCATTACTGATGACCCGATCCACAAATGCAGGGACAAGGCCTTGTATTGTGAGTGACTGCACGTGAAGGAAGGAGTCCATACATTGGTCATATTGAAGAAGGAACTTCCTGTGAGTGTCACCCATCGTGGGTAATAGACAGTTCATGTAAGAATTCAGGCATCTGATCTTGGAAAAGAGGGACAAGAACTGTAGCCAGCCAATGGCATCCGGATGGTCGGAAAAGGCTGGTATGTCATTGAGCAGACACAATGTTAATTTGTCTAGCTGGAAAGCTCCAACTGGGAGAGTATCGTAGGACTGGCTGGGCTGTAGCATGACCCGAGTCATCTCCAATTCTGACAATTGCAGCAAGTGGAGCAGAAGCCGGGCCAAAATACCCAAAGAAATCATGGGTCATATTCATCTGTGTGTTGAGCTACATGAGGAGTCGAGATGGAGAGTACAGATATGCGTTGGTATCATTTCATGCATGCCGAGGAAAAGTATGAAATCAGTCAAACATTCGTCGTCCTGATCAAGGCGAAGCTTGATAGTATGGAAGAGTCGACGACGAGTCATCGAATACCAAAGCGGTGAAACAAATGAACAATGGAGAAGAGTATCCCGATCGCCATGTAACCAATCGAGAAGCTCTTCCACCAGCTCTGGAGGATAGTATTTGATCCGTCTAGAGCATGAAGCTTCAATGTTAAGAGGCTAGAGTATAAGAATATCAAGAAGTTCTTTAGCGTTGACTTCTACATATACTACGCCATGTCCTCACCGAATCCATGGCCTTGTTTGGAGAAGGATAAGCCATAACTTAAATGCTGGCAGTGGCATATAGTGCTGTGTCCATAGGTTAGGGTTGTATCACTGTCACAACATGCGTCAGTGACAGTTTGCACTTCATTTGGGTTGATCGTGATGGCAGCCAAGTTCCTGTTTGAACGCGAACCAGCATCACCGCACCGTATTCAAGTAACAATAATCACTGAATAACAATCCCTACCATGAGCTCAAGTGGAGAAGATGCTCTCTCATATTTTTCGGCACTGGACGAGTTAATACAACTGATATATCAAGGGGCACAGAAGTTTGTACTTCTTTCCTCAGTCGACGACGTTAGTTGGAATGTGTATCTCGGTTTGACTGGACCAGAAGGTCGGTGGTGGTGCAGACGATGGACGGAGAAAGATGTTCAAAATTTCGTGGTAAGGGTATCACGATGCCTGAAATGTGTTGTCATAGAATTACTCATTCTTTGTTCTTCAGGGTCGGAAGACTTCATCTATCCTACTTGAGGCCTTCGCAGATAGGCTCGTACAAACCATTGTTCAAGGAGAACTGTTTGTAGGAAACTGGAGCTCCGAGAAGGGTGCCAAAATTAATGTCAGCTGGGCTAACAAACCCTATACTTGGTGTCAGAACTGACTAATCAAACATTGGCCCGACTATAGCTGACCTTGGGTCCTGGTGCAAAGACGCCTATTCACGTGCCTCTGACAGAGCTTTCAGCACATGAGGCTGCTTCGTATGCCGCCAAAGTGTTTGCTGAGGTACGTGTATATGATAACAATAGGAAATCCTGCAGTTTGACGATGCCGCTGTCAGATTGCCCTCCAAGCACAGTCGAGGAAGTGTCGGCTTAACCCATCAGATGACATTCCTTCGACGTCGACTGCCAACCTACGACTAAGCCCTCCAGCAACTTGTAAGTCCAAATTGCAATACCCATTGATATTGAATAAATTTGCAAACGGTACTATAGCGCATAAATGACAAGCAGAACCCGAGTCTCCTCCTAAAGTGACTAAATGCAAAGCACTTGAAAGGGAGCCCACTGTTGCAGAAATCAAAGCGAACGAAAAGATCAAGGAATTGGAGGCCCAACTTGCCTCAGAAAAGAAGAAATCGATGACCACTTTAGCCTCAAATTCAACAACGGGTCTTGCATCACGAGCGAGTATGTCAACCTCATATTGTCTACTGGGATTCCCCTGATGTTTTACTTTCCACTTTGCAGAGAAATTACCATCTGGTAGACCGCTCAAAGGTGCTTCACTGGCAAATCCCAATCAAGCGGCTCGTAAATATCAGGAACTTGAGTTTGAAAGCGACGAGGACTAGTTGTCTCCAATGTTCATTTGTGTAACTTGACTATCGATACTAAGTTACCTCTATGTTCTCGCATGTACCTACACGGACGGAACTATCTACAATGCTGTTACAATATTTACAAATAAATGAAAAAGCAATTACTCCAGTGGTTGACTATACAAAGCATCACTGGCAGCCCAACAATAATGTCCACAACCAGCAGCACAAGGATGACCCAAAACAGCCATCGAGCCTCCGACACCTCCACCAACCCCAGCAGGTCCTCCACCATCACTGTTACCATCCTTCACAATGGCGCTGACTCCGTCATCCGAGACATCATCTGCGACTCTTGACAGCACACGTCCTCGAGTTGGAGGCTTGCTTTGATGGACTAGAGAAGGCGTCGGAGGCCGAGGGGGTGCAGGTGGTTGGGGCACAGGTGGCTGGTGTGGCTTAATTTCGACCATGGGTTGACGTAGATAATACATCTGATAGCATTCCTGATGTCCTCCATGCATGCATACTGTGCATTTGAACAGCATGGCTCGAACAGATAAATGGCTGGAAACCGTGTTAACAACCTAGGCATGAAGAGAGCTGCAGTGTACGAACCATATGGAACACCTGGAAGAACTCTGCTTGCATTGTAGGCAAAATGCATAGTTCTCAGCAGGCTTCGGAGGTGGCTTGGGCTCAAGCGAGAGCTTCACCTGGTGATGAGGCATCACGGTGCTAGTGGGCGTGGTGCTCAAAACTGTCCCTCCTGAAGGAAGCATAAGGGGTTTTCGACAGCGTCCACATGCCGTATAGATAGTCATCTCGAGCTACGCAAAAGGTCAGTGAAATATTCAACATGAGATACAACACACATACCAAGGTTGTGTTCCGGACTTCTTCAGCAGGTGTGAATTTGCGCATGTATGCTGCAGAGGTATGCAGACGAAGTCGGACCAGCAGATCTAAAGAAAGAGAAAAGAGAAAATAAATTCAGTCAAGAGTTAGTCTGACATTCTCATAGAGCTCACACATATATGACTCCAAAAATCGAACCAGACGCGTCCTACTGACCTTGAGCTCCGCCCCAGCCACAAGTGACAAAAGGGTACACATCTGCACATCACCCTGGTGATGCAAATGTGTTAGCCTATATCAAGTCAAAGCAAAACCAGATCACCCACCTCATGTGCAAACACATCCAGTGATTCTCGCAGAGCTTCCCATCCCACGTCTCGTACATGCCCCTCAACCTCTTCCACCTGCTCCTTGGTGACACTAGCTGCTCGCTTCTTGGGTATCGCATCCAAATTCCTCTCTACTGATGTGCCCCGACTACTACGCACCCTGCCAAGCGTGAATTCGGCCGAGATGGTGGATCGTACACATTTGTGCTGAAGGTACGAAGTGGGCTGCACAGAACCGGGATGTCCAAAAGAGAATGAGCTCGCCAAATCGCGAATGGTATCGTCGCGATATAAACTGCTGGGGTCCTTCATATCATCCATATAGGGAGAGTTGACTGCGGTCACTGTGCGAATACTACTTTGCGAATCTTGTTTGGTGAGTTTTGGCATTTGGACCATCAGCGTCGAGGTGTGTTTGAGGGTTGGCTGTGATGCAGCAAGAGAGGCAACTGTGGAACTTCGGCTTCGCGTTCGGTGGCAACTTGATTTTGAGCTGCGCCTAGAAATCTTGCCTTTTGAAACTTTGAAAGCGGTATCCGAGCCTTCTCCGTCGCTATTCTCGTAATCCGAGTTCGACGAAGATGCAGGAGAAGGAGAATCTTTGCCATCCTTGTCATCTTCATCCTCCGTCCAGGTTTGCTGCCCCGCCACACGCGACAGCGGGCTTGGATTCGGATGTATGTGCATATGCGATGTTGCACCGGAGGTTCGAGGATAGAGGTAAGGCGAAATTGAAGGCCGAAATGATGTAGAGATTTCTGTGTGAATGCTTCCCCTATCTGAATGGAAGCTTTCCTGTAATTCGGGATGCTCGTCTTCAGACTCTCATCACTGCCCCTACCACTTCCCTTTTCTTCTTCATCTTCATCCTCTTCATCAGAATCACTGAGAGCGCCCTCTTCTACATGTTTCAAGCTAAGTGGACCACTTTTAACACTCATATCACTTGGACTTGCGCTCTGAGCACTATGCAGGAAGGATGGCCTTCGGCCATATGATGGGAACATCTTGGGTCGCTTTTGAGGTCCCGAGCTGATGGGAGTCAAGGCTGACAAACCTGAGTTAGAGGGGCGGCGAACACCAGACACCGAAGGTAAAGCAGAAGAGGCATGGTGAGGTGAGGAATGAACAGACGATGCAGGAGTTACTCTTTGTAGCGTGAGGTACCCCATTATGGAACTCGGTGCAGACGGCTTCTCTGGCGAATGGCGTGAAGACGCTGGGCTTGCGGAAGATCTTCTGCCGTGAGCATGGTCATCCAGGGAAATTGAACGAGGAGGAAGAACAGAAACTGAGGTCGAAGCAATTCGATGTCCAGTCGTAGGTACAGCGGCAGGGGCAGAGTTAGAGTGTGGTAGTTGAGGAGGTACCAGGGGAAGAGGTGAAAGAGAAAGCATCGGAGATGATGGCAAGTTCAAGTCAATTAGCAGGGAATGTAGTAATGATCACGCTTGCACTGCATCTTGCTTGCCTGCGCCCGAGGCAACCTATCGGTTCAATCGTGAGTAGGGATAGCAATGTCAACATAAAGTGTTATTACCTCGGCATTATGAGTACATCTCTCTCGCCGGTCGATACCCTCAAAGATATAGCCTTTGGCAAGCTTCACGAACACATCGATGTCTTCAGTCAGATCAGTCCCGGCAAGCATTCCAACAGTCTGTGTCTTAGGTCCATAGGTTTTGTCCCCTAGTGCTTTGAGCTTGCCTTTCTGCTCTTGCACAAGCTGACGCTTCTCTGGCGGTCTGAGGAGGGTGTAAATTTATGTTTCAGTGCACTATGAAAAAAGAGCACTTACATGTCATCATAAGGTACTTCCCATCGTCGGGGTCTATCAGCGACAAAAACCAGAGAACCAGATACATCCCAAGTAGCAGCGACTCTAGGAACAGCATCGAGCGGCTTCAACATCTGGCGAAGATCGAATTGAGAGAATGAGCCAGAGAAGTGTTGGGCCCATATCGAATGTGGGTCGCCGAAAACCGTGTCTACCATGAGGAAGATTAGATTTCCACTTCCTCTCACGGTGGGGGGCTCACTAGGCATACTCACCTGTCACTCCACCGTCAACTGCTGACCCCCGAACTACCCATTTTGTGATATGTCCTCATCTCACGTCCCAAATTTCTACCGGATCACCAACTTCGCTCTTCATAGTCATCAAAGACACCTTAGCCTCGGCGACTGACAATGTAGTCTCCGATCCTTCAGCGGGTAACACCTCAGAACTCATATTTGGGCTGAGCGCACCAGGAGGAGAGGCTTGATCGACTGTTCCGCTTCCAGTGCTGAACTTGACATTTGAGACTACAGCCAATTCACATTCGTAAGCCGGGCCTGGATGCCAGAGGACCCGATGAACTGGAAATGAGGTATGAAGGGTGTAAGCAGGCGTTCTAGAGATATGAGTCTCAGGAGATGGCGCTGTTAGGTCTCAGACCTGAGCAAACAGCTATTGTTAACGCTGTTCAAAAAAGCGTATGAAACATGTACCTTTACACATCGATCCAATCCACCACTGGCTAGCCATTCCATTCTCGAAGTCTCCCCGTCCGCAATGACAGGTGTATTCATTAAACCACTTGTACCACTACCTACGCCACCGAATCCACCTATATCGTTGAATAAACCGGCGCCCATACCTCCATACCAAGGAGAACTAGCTTGGGTGGGGCTTACTGGTGCATTCTTGACGCCAAAGGTGGAGTGGGGAAGTGACCAGTCTAGCACGATGATGGCCTTACTGTGCGCTACTGGTATGCGATCTAGTAGACCTCGCTGTCCCATGTTGAGATCCCACCTGTCATGTGTTGTATGTGAAGACATATCCACGGAATGGGGAAAAGAAAGAGACAATTTACCGGTATATGCTACCGTTATCTAGGCCAGTGATCGCCTGTAGAGGCTGCCGGGAAAGGGGGGAAAGGACCAAAGAGCGCACAGAAGTTGGATGGCGTATCCGCATGATAGATTTTGAGAGGTCACACATGTCCTATAGACCAAAGCAGCGGTCAAAACCCATCTCTATCATTTTGCCTGGAGCGCCAGGGACATGCACCCAGATACGAAGGTCTCCATCTGCAGAACCAGTCAGGCAATAATTCATTGAAATTGTAGAACATGCCAATTGTTGTATAGAGCGAACATGGTCACAGGCGCAGCGCTCTGGTGGTCATACTGAATTGAAGTTCACGGGAGTAGTCATACCTAGACGGCTCACCATACTTCGAGGCGCCAGTCCTCTGCAGGTCCCACATGATAAGTTCGCCATTGCGGGCACTGGTAAGAATCTTATTGCTGAAAGCTTCAAATGTATTGTCAATGAGTGAAATTTTCAAAGCCCTAAATTACGCATGACCATGCCCCCAGGCAACATCGGTGAAAGCACTGTCTATCTTGAAGCCACTTCCACCCCAAAGGTTTCGCGACACCTCAATCCGATAGCCACCACATCCAACGGCGGTCCTATGCTCAGCAGAAGTTGAGGCATTCACATCAGGCTCTGTGACACGGAGGATCTGCAGAGCTGCGTGGGGTGAATAAGGGCAGCAGAGTAAGTGAAGTACTGAAATGTACATTCTTTTCCTGCTACTACACAATGAGTACCATCCTCGCTCTTCGCAAGGGAACCTCCACCATAGGTTGTCGCGCGAGGGAGACGGACGTGACGACTGGGGCCTGTTGGGCCATGCGTACGAGAATCAGAGAACTCTGGAGTAAGGGACGGAACCGTGGTATGAAGCGAGGGCCACCTTGAGGTGGCAGAGGGGCCTCCGCTGTTCAACAACATAGTCATTAATGTTGCACTAGGTGCCTCAAACAACCAGGATTGTATTATCCGCCTTTATTTTCAGAAAACGATGCTGGGTGGCCTAAAAGTGGTTCACCGACCACAGGAGAAGTGTTCCACGATTGAATTCATCTGAAAGCATTCAAGCAAATGTTGGACGCAGTCAAAGGCCACTAGGACTGCTGTTTGTATCCATTAAGAATATGTTTGGAAAAGCCAGAAGGCATACCTACATAAAATCCTGAATTTCAGGCTGAGCTCGCTCTGAGATAAGGTGCAGAAGAACAAAGTTTTGAAGATTGTCCTGCTACATCAGCTGGGTAAGCGCTCGAACACTGCTCGAACATCAATTTAGGGACTCGGAAGTGACATCCTCTGTCAAGGTCACTCGAGCTCCCCATCCATTCATCCGCGATCTGTCCCAGCAATCGGAAATGAAAGCATCGGAAATAGACTTGTCTCATCTCATTACTAGTTCTTACTTGCATGTGCTCTCTTTCCGAGAGAACGACCAACATACCGTGCCACTGCTTTAATTCTGGGGAATAATCATTATCCTGCCGAAGCTACGATAATTAACCTCATAACATGTATATCCTTGAGCCAGCAGGAAAAGCGGAGAGACTTCAGTAGACAATGGACTCCTGTACAAAAAGTATTGCTATAAAACGTCAAGTCAAAACAACTGAATGAAGACTTGACATGCAAACATGCAAACACGTGCAGAAGTCATGCTTTCTAGTAGTAGGAATCCAGAGTAGAGGTTAGATACCAAGAATTGCCTATGTGAATAATGGATTCACCTGCGACGATGGCGTCGAAAGCCTTTCCGTACTTACCACTGAGCCCCTTACATCCCTCACACTGATCACAACGCCGCTCGACCTCAAGCTACTACTGCCCAAACTCCTATTCTCCGCAAAACCTGATTCTAACTGGCCAGGAGTCACAAATTTGAAACCCGCTGGTGCATCTGCTGAGGGTGTGAATATGACAGAGGATATCGCTATCGACTTGCGCTGTTCGGGTTCACCACGTTCCATCATTGCTCGATTGTTGAAGCCTGCTAGCAGCATGTTTGAGTACCTGTAAACAATTGTGAGGTTGGGTAGAATGGGTACAAGTAGGAGCATGGACGGACAGCTTAGCTAGAATGATGGCTCTATGTGTCATCAGCCATTAGCAAGTATGGGCTCATAGGTAAATTACTCACAGGCATTCATGAATATATGTTCTCTGTCAGAATGTGTAAGTAAATGAAATTTATGTCGAGCTTCTGACAACTTACAGGCATCGCAAGGAATGTGACAATGGCAACAATAGCAACTGTGGCTGAAAACCAGGATTCACTATGTCAATTAGGACCTTATTTGTGTTTCATCTGACTTGCCTGTCATCGTTCCCGTCTCCACCACGAAGAAAATTAGACGGATTATCAATGAATGGCTTAGTTGGTTTTGGCCCTGGAGCTTGGATTCAACAAGCTTATGATTCTTCTTGGACCTTAAAAGCTATGAAGCACATGTGGAATCAGGTCACAATCCACATGGCTCAAGGTGGAGCTACTGTGGTACTGACAAGGAAGGTCATCGCTATTGCGATAATGACATCTACGACATTCGACCGATGTTGTTGTGATGTGCCGGAAAAGGACTTTAGCTGCCAGACGAAAAGAGATATGAGAACTCTCAATCATGCTTCAAGGTAATGAACTTACTTGAGCACCACCAACGATGGACCCGGCAAGCTGAGTTAATGCAAGCTTGTTCAAAATAAAGCCGCCTCAGATCCGCGCGAACAAACTGTATTCCAAGGAAGCACAGACTCTCACCATAGCCACCGTTCCGGTCAACACTTTGGACTTGGCTAATATCCAAAGACGCCATGAAAACGTGAGCTGCACTGCAGCGGATATAATTCCACCGAGTATAATGAAGCTAAATCACCCCATGCCGATGGTTGAAAACCTCCCAGAGCTCCCCCATCGATAGATGAAGTTGTCAAACATGTCTACTGTGAGCATACATGTTTGAAGGGTGTCGAGCATAAATATGCCATATATGTGACGACGTAGTATCTCGTCTAGCATGCATAGAAATGATTGGAAGAAAAACATATGCGACTATGACGTACCAAGGCATTTGAACAAAATCTGATCTTTGGGAAAGGAAATATGGTATATGTCTGTTGGACAGTTAATCATCCAGCTGTGCTCCCGAAATTCGACCATGCTTACAGACTTGCACCAAGAGAACTCCAAGCAAACCCCAGTTCAAAATGAACCCTACGAACTGGCTGACATTTGATTCTGTGCTACTTGCATGACCAAAGGACGTACTGGAGGTCCCGCTCTGAGCACATAAGACATCAGAATTTATTGCCTAGAGAAAACCTAGAGATTAATCCAGATCATACGGCCACTCACATGAGATTCGATGAGGGATGACTGACGCTATCAGCTGAGCGGGAGTCCATGCGAGAGAAATCAAGCAGATGACAAACACCTTGTTTAAAGACTCGAGCGAACAGTGGGCGCAAAGTAGAGACAACGTATAACCGAACTGGCGGTAAAAGGGCATCTCAAGCATGAGTCCTCTTCCCTCTTTGTATCCATTGCAATGGACGTGGTAACATCTAACTATCACAGGGACATCATGTCGAAATAACTGCCGTCCGCCCATGAACATATTGACAATGACAGATGCAGGGTGTCATCATAACAGTGGGGATTAAGCCCGCTTTCATTATAGCGTGAATGCCGGTCTACGCCGTTGAGGGACTAAACCATCATTAACCATTCCTTTAACTTGATGCACTACGCTCTGGATGCGAATCCATAAGTCTTCAAATGGTCCTTTCTCCAGTAGTCCATTTACCTCCGATCATTGTCACGGTGTTCGGCGAGCAGTCGCAGTACGCGTAATAGTCACCATAGTAAAGTATGAAGAGATTGCGACCAGTAGCCAAGCTCTTCTGAGGGTCCGCTTCTCTGTCAGTAACCTTACTGCAATCTCGAAAGCATACGTACATGCACAGTCTAGAGCCGGCCTGCCATAAAGTCGCAAGGAAAATAGGGAGATGTCGATGATCAGAGCGTTGAATGTCTCAAGTTGAATGACAATGTCAACGCGCCAAGCTGAGGATGACCGAAATGCGACCGAGGATTGAACCCGGTGGTGCCTGAGCCACGCGGGAGCCAAACTGAGAAGACGCTGGCGGGAAGTGTCGCCATTAGCGAAACTCAATTTGGACTCTAACAGCTCACTCTAAACACTGACGAATGTATGCTGGCGTAGATGCCGATGACTGCCGAAGCACCGCCATCAATGTCGGTCGCATGGGATCATCCCTCGAGTTGAAGTCACTCTGGCATTCTCGATACCTTCAGGCAAGAATGTGCACATCTGAAAGGGCTCATTAAGACTATTACATTGGTCTTTTTCCCATTCAGAATGGACGAGAAATGATGCAGAACAAGGGTCATCTCTGTGCACCTAACCCCGACCAGACAGACGTATTTTCAATTTTTCCGGCTGCAAGATCAGTGGCAGTGCGCTCTCTTCATTTTCAAGCCTTTAGAGTGAGCCATTAGAGTCCAAATTGAGTTTCGCTATTAATTGCACCGATGGCGAGCTTGAGTCAGTCGCCGTCTTATATGTCGCTCATTGGTGGCGACATGCACCGCACACATTTTTCAGTGTGCGGCCTTATATATGTCATTCATTCCTTTGTAACAGAAAGCCGCGAACATTGTGCATCCTTCGCCTTCATCCTTGACATCAAAGTGAGGAAGATGATATCATAGACTGTACGGGTCCGAAGGGTCTCCGAGTTCAGGTCATCTAGCACGGAATCTGTGCGACGTTTCATGACCGGTTCCTGTTCTTGCAGTTTCTTCGCTCTCGATGTCGATATGTGCTTTACAAACGTGCCATTGTAATGAACATGTTCGTTGGATGGGAAAGAGTCGAAGATGAGCTGATCACGAAAGTCCCCGGGAACTTTGACGGGTTTGTAGGAAGGGTGACAGTTGTCCTTATATTTGTTGGAATATCTTCAGAGTAAACCAAGGTGCTCGAGAATGACGTATTCAACAACGCGATGGTAGGTCCCTCCTGCCAATCACCGAGCTTGGTGAAGACTGTATGTATGGCTGCACTCACCAATTCGGTATACAGCGAGGCTGGACGAAGGCCACGGCCTCCAATTTTATGCCCTTCAATGAATGCAGCGAGCAAGCCAATGGGAGTTTCGAACACTGCACATGTCTCATCAAGGGTAGACGACATTCGAAGGCGGGTTCCTAGAAGCGAATAGTCGCGGTGAGTAGCAGATCGAGTTGCAGGTGGAGGGTTGGCACATGAGGTATCTTCTTGGAAAGGAACGAAATATCGGCTCCTAGTTGAGAAAGGATAGGCTGGAAGTTGCGTCAAGCTAGCCCCGGGAGCGAGATCAGCAAAAACGGCATGCCAGTCAATGATGGATGAGGTGCAGTAAAGCTCGGACAATGAGGCGACCAAGGTGTGATTGCCTCCGACATTCCTGCGAAGGGAAGGCAAGAAGACATGGGACTGAGACTAGCTTGAAGAATGTAGCATGGGAAGCGTCGTCGGGTGAGAGCCTCTCTCAATCCATCTAAGGTTCAATTTGAACCCGCCGATTGCAGACATTTCGGAAACTCAATTCTCGAAAGAACAGGCTCGACCGATTGATGAGAGAAGTATTTGGCATTAAAGGCAGAACAATCTCCAGTAAAGATCACGGTTCCATGAACATTTGAATATATTGGAATGGCCGGAGGGGCAAAATTGATCTTGAAGGCATAGTTGACAAGGCAGTTGTATATTAGCGACATGGCTTCTGTATGGTACGCGTAGGGAATATCGAGGAGTTTGCA